TATCCCAGGTCCTTGGGAAAGACTTGATAGGTGGATAAAAATGCCAAATCCAGTCTAAACAACTGGACCAATAATAATAAAGTCACCTACTTAAGTGATTAGTTAAGTACATCTTACTGTTTGTCTATATTTGTGCCATATATATGTTTATGTATATGTGTACCCACATATAGAATATTATTAATTAGATGCTTATCTAATGATTCACATATAGGTGCTTACTCTCACAGCCATAACTGACATCAACTTACCGCTTCAACAAGGCTGTTGGCACTACCGTGAAATTGCCTGCCACACTCTCTTGTCTGACTGGAAACTGTAAGGGAGACTGGCCTGGCTTTTCGGGTGCTGCTAGAGCTGGTGCTATCACAATATGAGGAGCTGCAGTATATTGATGGGAAGCTATTATTGAGTTTCTCGTTGGACTCCTCTACTTCAGGCCACAAGCCTTTAACCTGTTGCTGTGGCCAGTCCTGTGTACAATGTGTTGCAGAGGATGTGGCACAGGATCGAGAAGGTCTTATTGGAGAATGACTACTTTGAAGAGGACTCCGACCTGCAGCCGCTACTGCCTATAGACGGAATAAAGAAAATATGATAAATTAATATGTCAGCAGCTTGATTCAGAACATGGGGGAAAATGAACAAAATATTTTTGAAAAAAAAAATTCAGCTTAACTTGGAGCTGGCTGTAGTTCAGTAATGATATTCCTTTAACCTGTTGTCCTATATTTCATAATGAAATTGTCCTCAATCTTACAGAAAACTAGAACATGGATCAAAAAGTAACTTTAACTGAATGAATGTCTGTTCTTCATCTACTTGAAACTTGCTAAATGAACAAGGATCATGCTCTGATCAGTTCTTGTGCATACTGTAGTGCCATTTAAAAACTGATTGATCAGTTTAATGGATTTCAAGATAGTTTACGTATAGTTTATACACGGGGGCGATTCTATCGTTTTGGGAATACAGAAGATGGCTGAACTGTGCTTGCTGAGAAGCTGTGCTTGTATAAACCAGCACCTCTACATGATATGTAGACAGTCACCATGATTTTCGTGACAGATTATTATAACAGAAATTTCTCACTATACTGTCTTAAGATTTTGTAACATAATGCCCTATTTCAGTTCTTCAATCCTAGTTCCATCTGGTCTATTAGTCACAAGCAGAGCAATGTGGATAGCATGAATGTCAGAATAAAGTTAACAGTACAGGAAAACACGTATTAAAGTCTCAGTTTATCTTATGCCACAGAGACACACCTGGCTGGTCCTCCATAGGAATATTACATATTACATCTTACTTTGTAAGACTTATGGTAAAACATTACTGTGACCTAAAATAAGGCCTACACTGCTTGAGACTGGTTAAATAGATTGACCAGGTGGGAAAGATTAAAAGATCTTCAAAAAAAAAAAAAAAAGATAAGTGATTTTTTTTTTTTGATGCCTTCAAGCCAGTGTTGGCTCCTCACAACTGCCTAGACAAGTCCCTGCAGTTTTCTTGGCAAGATTTTCAGAAGTGGTTGCCATTGCCTTCTTCCTAGGGGTGAGAGAGAGTAACTGACCCAGGGCCACCCAGCTGGCTTTGTGCCTAAGGTGAGACTAGAACTCATGGTGTCCCAGTTTCTAGATTAGTGCCTTAACCACTATACCAAAGTGGTTCAATATTTTTTAGTTCAGCTAAATTGTATTGCTGGACACAGTTGAATATTCTTTATCTAATACTTCCTCTAGTTTTTGTTTTTTTGTTTTTTTCAAATTGCCAGAGATAATAAAGCATTGAGTGAAAATTGATATGCAGCCAGATTAGATGTTGCATTTCTGTATCAGTAATTTTTATCTAGCAAGGTGAAAAGTGCAAAACTCACTGGAAAGGAGTTTAGTTTAAGCCAATAGTTGACTAATAAAAACCATACTTTGGCTTCAGCTCTGATCAGACCTGCTTGGAATCATAGTGCCGTGTTACTCAGAGCTATACAGCAGTTGGGCTGGAGCTTTAGCCTCAGAAAAACTTTGATGGCTGCTAGGATCCAATGTCTATCTTTAGTTCAGAAAAAATTGAGAATAGCCAAAGCAGTCCCCTGGGCATTGTCACTGACATCCCTTCTTATGCCACTCATGAGTCTGTTGCAAGGAAGGTCAATCTGTAAAATCTGGGAAAGATTGTACTAAGATGTTAAAATACTAAGTCATCAGGTTTGGTAGCTTGAAGAGAAAATTATCACTTCAGCAGCAGGGTTTTTCTTTTTTTCTCTTCACTGTGCAAAACCCCACCCTTGTGACATTTGACTTTCATGAGATAAACAACCTTCATATTTTTCTTCATGAATTATAGTAGACTTTGTCACTGAAAACATCTTGCAGGTGGGTAACATTTTTCAGGGAAGTTATTGAGTTAATCTGTTGTATTAAGAAACAAGAACAACTCCTTTTAAAATTCTTGTAGTACTTTATCAAGGAACAAATATATTATGGCATGGGTGTTTGTGGCTATAGTCTATTACATCACATGCAGTTTATACCATAATAATTTGTTAACCAGAAAGTACCACAAGCCTTTTGCTTTCAATTTTTGATAACTGTTATGCTGTTGGTCTCATGACCTGGGAATTAGGTTTAGGAGCATCAATAAATCATCAAATATAAAGGAAGATCATACCCTCTAAACAAAGTCTTCAATTACTCTTCCAATTCTGTAGAACAACCAAAAAATTTTTTCTTTGTAAATCCATCTGCATAACACTCAGATATTTTCAGCAGATAGCTTATTATTTGTAATATTAATTTGATGTTACTTTCACTAATAACCTTCTTATTAGATGTACACATTGGACATTAGATACATACATCTTATTAAATATAACACATTTGGGTCCAGAAAATTAACCATACCATTTATGATCAGATGCATCCAGGTTGTGTACTTCATTGTTTTAAGTGCAATGTGATTTGATGGATAGCTGTTTCCAGACACAACTCACCTGACGATGTACTAGATGCAAAGGTAATATTGTTTTCTGTAGGACACCTGCACTTTGATTTTTCTGTCTCTTTAGACACTCCAGATGAAAGGATGCTCTTCGACCTAGAAAGCCAGTTACACAGAAGTATAATGACAGATTAATCCATCTGCATAATCCAGTTGAAAAAGGAACTATATGCTATGAAGCAGACTCAGGTACCAAATACCACATTTCCCTTTTATCACTGATAGAACTCTTGTTACTTGTAGTACGGAGTTGTCAACTAGAAAACTATTTCCATGTTCTATAATTATGGTTCCTGTTTATATTTTTTAGCCCAAATCTGTTAAATAAATGTGACTAGAGGCAAAATAGTTCTGAGTACACATGTGGGGATGGGTGGGGATATGGCATATGTAGGAGAAAATCACAGGCACAGAAAAGATTAAGAATCTCCTTTCAGCTAATGGGCTTTTATGTTAAGATGACCAACGCACAATTTGGGATTACACAATTCTTAATTAAACCCTGTGTATATTACATGGTCTATCTGAGATAATAAAACTAGACTATATATGTCTGTATATGCAAAACTTGCATGTCACGAATAATGCTAGATTGGAACTCTATAGGGTTTCCCCCAACATATATGCCTCCAACTATAGTTTGAAGGTATATGGTAGAGACACAAGATTTGCTTATTTGTTATCTGTCAAAACAAGGATTATCCTATTTTAATTACAAGTTTTAATTTAATAGCAATTCTCAAGTAGTTGAAAAATGTACATGCTGCTTGTCAAATTGGCAGAATATTAGTATATTCCAACATTCCTGCAGCTTAAAGCTAAAAGCCATGAGAATATGTATCAGCTGTATAGTTTTTATTTGATGTTTGCAACACAAGATAAATTTCTTAATAAGTTTCACCATTTTTTAAATGTCAACATTATTACTTAGTGATGAGGAATGCAGAAATCCAATCTTTGGAGACTGCTGGATGTCTTCTTTGTTTTCAGGGGGAGTTAGCTGTCTGTGTTCATCATCTTGGTATGATAACCTGTAATTGAAAATGTCACATTTTTCCAAAATATTTGAATTAGCCAATGTGTCATGCAATTCTTAAGAGGAACACTGCTTCCTCTATCAGATTTAATTAGGTTAATGTCAAACCATACAATGTAGGGTTAGTGGTCTAATCCCCAAATCTGCAGATTTTGGCCCCTTTTAATTCTGTCTCATATATCAAGCTGTTTACTTGTTCCATAATGGCAGCATGAAATATTTGAGAACTGTGTTTTAGAATGACTTTCATTATGCCTTAGTTTGCAACCATATTTCTTCCTTAAACAGATTACCATACTAACTATATTCATAATAGTAAAATTTAATTAGGAATATATTGGTATGTGGGAACAAGTTTTTATGGCCTCCAGCAATTGACAATCTAATCCAAGTCTAAGATTCATCTCACTAGAGAAAACTATAGAAGAACTTGAGACTAGCTAGTGATAAAACCCAGAAATAATTCCTTTGTTGGGTATGATATACCTACACATATACCTATATTTATAACCTACCTATTTATTTTCATACTACATCATTAGTGTATTGGGTTAGTTCGGATGAAATGCTAAATTATGATTTGGCTACAAATACTTTACTTGTTTATTCCCTCCTCTTTTTTTCTGTCCTTGTATATTCCATTATCTGAAAGAACAAATCACAATTTAAACTACGGTATAAATATATGGAAAAATGGAAAAAGTTATTAATGTAATATGTATTTCTAATCTGGAAGTATTGGGGAGGCAAGATTGAATTTTGTGATTCCATTCTTAAAAATCCCAAAGCAACTTCTCCGCTGTAATAATATACTCACATTTCAGTGGATAACAAATTTGGTTCACTACAATATTCAGCTTCTTCATTTAGTTGCTCATTGTATGTTTCTTCCTCCTGAGAAGCTTCCTCTTCACTAACAATTGCCACCTGGCTGTCTCTGGAATAGGATCTAATGAGCAAGAAAATCTTAATGATTCATGGATACTGAAGAAAATGTAGAGATGCTGCAATGGAAATACTGATTCCACTGCATTATTTTTTAAACAGCTCCTTGCAAAGAAATCTAGCAAAATTAACCTATAGGAAAGATAATACAGGTAGTCCCTGGGTTAAGAATGCCTGGTTTAAGGACAACCCATAGTTAAGAATGGAGCCTATTGTAACAAAATTTGTGTTAAATACACAATGATTTGAGTTAAATACACAATGGTTCGAATTCATTACACAATACTACTTATATAGTATTATACAATAATACTGTTCCAGCTTACATACAAATTGGACTTAAGGACAGACCTTGGGAACAGAACTCGTTCTTAAACTGGGGACTACCGTAATGATAATGATAATAATATATTAAATGTATATGCCACCTGACTTGTAGTGACTCTGGTGATTTACAATTGTTAAAACATTTAAAAGCAAAGAATAATACAAAAAACACCAAAACAGCACAAGACAAAAGAACAATGATGGCAAAGAAAACACACCCAGAGGAGAATAGAAAGGAAGAAAGGGGTGTCAGTCTCTTTGAAATACCAGTAGGGTGGGAGCCATTCAGATTTCAGGGGGAACTTCATTCTAGGGGGCAGGCGCTGCTACAGAAAAGATGCGCTTCCGGGTTGAGAGAGATGGCATTATTTAATTGATGGAACCCAGGATGTGCCAACCCTGCCAGACTGAACTGGCCAGGCAGATGAGATATAGATCTCGTGTATGGAAATTACTATGGAAATGGAGAGGCAGGATAGGAAGCATCTGCCTTAGATTTCCTGTTCACCATGCATGTCCATACTTCTGAAATAGAATTTCATCTTTTCCTGAAAATAAAAGTTGTTTGAACCAAACTCCAAGATACAGTACTTGAGCTCAAAAAAACCCACAACAACTTGTTTTTGGAGAAACAAGTCTGAGACATATATTGATGATCAAATGGTCAGTTAGCATTGCTCAGGGCTGGTGTGCTTATTGCATTTTATCTTGTTGGTAGTGGAGTAAGATGCAGCTCTTGAATTGCTTACCTCCAGCAAACCAACTTACACATGATCTTAAAGTACTTATTTTACAGTTACTGTCCAGTCATCAGTATTTGGTCATTCACGTACATTATTACAAATTAACTAAAATAACTACCACTCCTTTATTCTGAGCTTATGAGTAAATCAGAGGACATCAGAGGGGCAGGTCACTATTTTAATGTTTTCCATGTATCTAATTTTTTGTGCCAGATAAAAAAATAAAAGCTAATTGCACAATCTGGAAAAAAGCATAGGGAGACAAATTTGACCCTTGCCACTGTCCCAAACAGACTGCCAACTCATATAACAGCATTTCAGTAACATCTATTTTTTTTATTGGTTAGATTTATATAGCTGCCCAGGTTGTGTAATCGTGACTCTAGGTGGCAATATATCAAATAAAAACCAATGAGTATAGGTAAGAGACCATACAAAATAAGAATGAAATCTGTAGGCAACATATCAACAACATATAGCCAGGGTCAATCAAACACCCATTTCACCTCCCAGAAGACAGGATCATTTATCATCCTGGCCCAAGGCCTAAGGGGAAAAGGTTTTTTTTTAAAGCTTTCTGGAAGGTGAAGAGGATTGGGGCTATCTGAACCCTGAGTGAGGGTGGGGTGGGGTGGCGTGGGGATTGTTCCAAAGGGCAGACACTGCCATAGAAAAGGCATGCCTCTTAGGCTGACATTGCCTCAGGGAGGAGACCTGGAGGATGTCCATTCTGTGAGAGCAGGAGGGATGGCCAAAAGGCTAGGGACAAGTTGTCCTGCAAGTAAGTTGTTAAGATCTTACATAACATGTGGTTTGACTGTAATAACAGCATTGATTCAAAGTAATTGAAATGCATCTTGAATAAGTAATCCACAAAAATATTCTAAGTTTATTGTTTAGAATGTTACAAATCTCTTATCTGTGTTATAGCAGTATTGTGCTATACCTCTTCCCTCACTAGACCTGAAAACTAAAATTTAACATGATTTGATAAATGAACGTTTATATGAAATACAGATGAACAGGAAGATTATTACCTACCTCCCTAGTGTTTCATAATAATGCGTCCTAATTCATCAGGAAAGCATGGGAAGAAAAAAAAGACAATCAGGAATATAGATGGAAAGAAGGAAAGAAAATGGTATTTTTGGATTTATTGTAGTTTTGCAGAGTAAGGTAGAAAACTGGAGCAGAGACCTATTTGCCTAGTTTTTAAAATTATGCTTCAGAAAACAGGGTAAAGATTAGTCAAGTTGCCTTGCTACAAATTGCTGAAATCTCATCAGAAATAAAATATTAACAACAAATAGCATTTATTTAACAATTTCAGTAATCAAGTATTTCCTATTAAACCATAGGATTTTAAAAAGAATTAAAGCACAGAGGATCTCTATATGGCATTTTACAGAAAATTTCCTCAGTATACTAAATAGTATCTACCTAGTTATTGTCAAGGGTGATTGCCCCCAGTTTAAAGTAAATGTTTCAAATTAATTAAATGGTCAGATTTAGATGTCCAAAGTATTTCAGCAATACTTTTTCAGAAGTAATCCCAATTTTATCTCAATATGATAAGCATTAATCCCCTTAAATCTTATTTTCAGTGCCTATTCTCTCAGGATTGAAAGAGGGCAATCTTATCTATGTGATCTTTTCCAAGATCAATGATTGTTCGGCTCTATTCACCTGCAACTTGAATTCACTGTAAGTAATATTTTTTATTTTATCTATTAGAAAGATATTAGCATCAACTTGCCAATCAACTTGCATCAACTCCCAGGATGCAGTGGGTTATTCATTAACAATTATTCTTTTGCTCTTCTTACATGGCCTAAGCTATTCTGAAGGAGCACAGGTTGAAGAATGCACAGAAAGAAAAATAAAACAAAGAAGCTTTAACATAGACATAGATTTATAATTTTCACACTTCATTATATCACACATATCCTCAGTATTTGCCTCTTTATTTTGAATTTTAAAAAAGGACTTATGGGCCAATGACCTTGCAATGGATGGTTAATAAATTTAGAACAGATAAAAGAAAATGGGAGGGGGGGGGTGCATACAGTATGTTTAATTAACTCACAGAATTAACTACCAGAAAATACTGGGATGACTAGGTGCCTAAGGTACAACCTCTTCTCCCAGAAGCACTCTGGATCTTCATACTCTGGTCCCACCTCTGCTTTAGGGTGGTAGGTAGATAGCTCCTGCAGCCATCCCCCCAAAAATACCAAAATAGAAATAATTTCAGTAGTCTAAACTCCTGGCTGTGTAGCGTAGAGATGAAAAAGAGTCCGAGTTTCAGTCCTTCCTCCCCCGCCCCTCCTGCCTGGAGATAACCAATCTGACAGGTGAAAAATAAAATTAGAAAAAGAAAAAAAAACCTAAAAAAAAAAATCTTAGCATCCAAGAGTTTAAAAAGCAAAGGAAATGCCAGGAGTTGATCACAAGATGATACTTTTCTGCTGTAAATAGAAACAGATTTTTTCCTGCCAAATTTTGATGCTGCAGAGATTTCATCTTGGATTATAAACACAAACAATATCTTCATGCTTACCCTGATGAATCGATAACAACAAATAGCATTTGTTGTTGCTTGTGCAAGAGGTTGCACAAAGAAAATTTAAAAAAAAAAGACTTTGAACATCACATAGAAAAAAACCCTGAGACAATTCCTGGCTGAAACATCTACCTACTTCTCAGATGCACCTTCTGTTTCAATCTTCCTGGATTTCCCATTTTCCTGGAAATTTCCAGCTTTAATCTGTCAGCCTCATGCTTTTCACAGCTTCAGTTTAGAGCTTCTTCTCCAGCAATGGGAGGACCT